TTACAACGGGTGTCTACAGTTATATTGTTCGGTGAGTTTCCACACTGTGTATATCCTAGTACAAAAGGATACAATTTTTAGTTATTATATTATGTTCCTTCCTTTACTTTGTGACACATTCACATACACGACGAGGTAGGATATATTTAATATAGATAGACTATTTTCCTTATTACCTTTATATTGTGACTCTTATGCATAAACGACGAGGTAAACTATAGTTTTATAATAATAGTTAAAGAGGGAAAAACCGTCACACTTACAGTGATGCTTACATACAAAACAGTCGGGTCTTGGTAGAAGACTACTTTCAAAACAGTCGGGTCTTGGTAGAATGCTACTTTCAAAACAGTCGAGTCTTGGTAGAAGACTACTTTTATACTAGTAGGAAATATAGGATTTTCTAGGGTTTTCAAATGTTTACAATTACTTACAAACACTTTCATACTTATACAAACTTTTCTTAAAACATTTACAAGTCTTTCTTTACAGTTTTACAAATCAAAGACACATTAATACTTATGAATTCACCAGCTTTATTGCTGATACTCGCTTTCAAAATAACTTGTATTCTCAGGTCGCCAATAGACAGGTACGACGACCAGGTTTTGTGAAGGCAGAGCAGTCAAGACTCATCTTTTATTTTGAATATTCATTAGGTTGTTTATACTTTGGAAGAACACACTTGTATTTAAAATTATACTATTATTACAATGGATGATGTTGTTGCTTGTTTACTACTTTGCATTGTTGTGATACTTTACATGACGTCCTCCACCCCAGAACGTTTCCGCCGTTCTCGGTTTTGGGGTGTGACACAAGCAAAACATAATCGCACAATCTACTAAGTAAGAATACACTACTACATCAGAAGTTGAAATCAAGTATGATTAGATGGATGAGTTCATTGAAAAACTATGTTGATTTCTGCCATTCAAGGATCACATAGAAATCTTTGTGACTTAGAGAGTATACTTAATCAAGCTAAAAGTCTCTATGTCATGAAAGAAACCCAATTATATTCTCCAATATATTTAACTATACTTAAAGTAAAGTAAAAAATGGAGATGATAGTATTTGTAGAATTCACACAATTTAAATTTAGTTAGGCCCATTAACAAAGTCCTTCCTTTTAAGCTACGTATGAGTGGTCACACTTCACCTATATGACTTCATTATTCTAGAAATGGGATTTTGATTTGGATTTAATATTTGGATATCGGAACATTAAGACAAAAATATTATATTTAATGTTGATATATTAGGATATGATCATCACATCAATATTTGTTGTGTTCTATATTAATATGTTTAATCCATGAATAATATTATTATTCTAAAAGATCATAGTCGATTATAAGTATTGGAGCAATTATGAAGTAAGACTAATATTGTAACAACCCGTTATTTTTCATGTCAATAAAAGTCAAACCCTTTAAATAAAATTCAAGTTTTGTTGATTTTGTTAAGATCATAAGGGTTAAATATGATTTAAGTTATATAAATGATGTTTTTATATAAGTATTTGGAATAAAATGCACTTAAAAATCAAAACTTTTCTCCTTGGAACTGAGAACCTTTGCACCGAAAGCCCTTTCGGCCAAAAGCCCTTGGACCGCAAACCCCACCAAGAACTCCCCAGACCGAAAACTCCTTTCTGACCGAGAACCCGCTCGATATATATGATTTAAATCAAATACATAAGTCATTTCTCACTTTTCCAACCGAAAACACACCCATTTTGCTCTTAAGTATCATACAAAAATCTTCAAATCTTCAAGCAAAATCCTTCAAATCTTCATAATTTTCATCAAGAACACCAAGAACAATCTTCAAATCTTCAAGCCTGTTCGAAAACCACTTGGACCGAGAACTCACTCAGGCCTAGAACCCTTTAAGACCATGAACTTAGGTCTTGGTTAAGGTTTTTAAACCGAAATCAAGGGATTTCGGTGAGGGATAAACCGATAACCCTTATCATCACTTCAAATAATTCTCGGTAATTTTTGTAAGTATTCCTTACATAAATTAAGTGTTGCCTAACACTTTAATTAATTATTTCGCTAATTTAAATATGATTACGTGTTTAAATAATATTAGGATACCGTTATTTCCACGTATGCTAACCCGAGGATCATATTTACAGTTCTGCTATCCAGACTCGAACACACACTAGAGGTGAGTTCATCCCCCTACGTTTTCACTATTTTTCAATGTTTTTTTTTGGGGGGGGGGGGGGTGGGGGATACATGGACTCTTGTGTTAACATTCAAACGATTTGCAATTGTTTGAAACCGATTTACCGTTGCATTTATCAAAATATATTTATATATATATTTTTGACCCTTTTGTAACATGCCCAGCAAAAAGGGAACCTTATTCAAATCTTTTATTACTGCTTTATACACACTGATAAATTGCAAAGGTTTCTAGTTCATTACAGAGTATACATTCAAATTTTGTGAATCCCTACACTATTTTACTAAGTTTAACAAACGATACAAGAACATACATTTAAACTATAATAGGTATAGTTTGTGAATCGCTACACTATTTTGCTAAATTCAATAAACGATACAAGAACATACATATAAACTATAATTGGTATAGTTTTAGAATCATTACACTATTTTACAAGCTCGAGAACTCTATACAGAAACAAGTGTATAAATTATAATAGGTACAGTTTATGGAACACTACTCTATTCACTAATTCAAGGATACACTACTAAAAAAATTATTTAAGTTCGATTATTTTACAATACAAAGTACACTACTACAATGCAATGCATACATATTCAAGTACAAGAGAACACTACTACACTACACATAAACTAGTTAATACAGGGCTGTGAGGCACTACTTCGTTGTACCCATAAGGGTACTTGTCTAAGTCTGATAAATTATAACCAGAGTCTCCTAGAGGAAGAGCGTGAATTTGTGTATCTCTATACAGGACTGACAATCCCACACCTGAGTTGCTTGCAACAACTAGGCTGATAGGCATCGGGTGACAAATGGAATAACATTCCGACGCCTGAAGAACGTTGTATAGGCCACTAGGTTATATCAGTATGGTTATATGAAACTCACAATAGTATCAACTAAAACATTTTTTTACGGGATTATCATTACTTCAAAAGTTTTATTTTAAATAATAAAACCACAGTATACTAGTTTACACTACAAATGGTGGGTTCTAGGCACACATACAAAAGGTTTCCATACAAACACTACTACGATACACTACTATTTTCAGTGCAAAGTACATTAGTACAACATATGATTTAAAGAAACATTCATGATATAGTTTTATTCATTAATAAGACTACCATTTACTATTTCAGAGTATAGTTTACTATTTTAGAGTATAGTTCACTATTTCAGAGTACAATAACAAACATACATTTTGGTCTTAAGTCCTAAGACTACATTTCATTCAGTAAATAAAATATTGAACTTTATGGAAGTACACTATAACATTTTCAATGAACAAAGACAAGCTTTCAATCTCAAAAATATACTTATGAACTCACCAACTTAAATTTTGATACACTTTCAAAACCACTTGTATTCTCAGGGAACCGGTTGACAGGTACACCCACAGGTTTTGAGAATACGTAGATCATAGATTCGCATCTGTTATACTTTTGCAATACACTTTCGATGTCATAACAACTATGTATTGAACAGATGTAAACACTATACTTTATCAATATAATGGTTTTGTTTGCTTTGATTACTATTATGCAATTGTTGTGATATTGTACATGACGTCCTCCGCCCCGAACGTTTCCTCCATTCCAGTTTAGGGGTATGACAAATATGAATTGGATTGGTTAACTCTCATTCAACGTTCAAAGTCAACAACCAAAATTCAACTTAGATGGCCACCACGTCGTGGCCAAGAATTTTTCGTGACATGGTAGCCTGACAACAAACAATCGTGAGACTGCCTCCCACCACATCGTGGTGGCCAAACCACCACACCATTAAACCTATTATGGCAAACTTAATGCATTAAGCACCTAATCCTTAAAGTTACACATTCATACTTTGATGTAGGCTTTCTTACACCTAATAAGTTTTAAAAATCATTTCTTTGTAGACATGCATGTCCAATGCATGTCTTTCTCAAGTTAGGTCACAACAATGGTGAATATGAGGTCAAAACCTCACGATTGGAATTTTTTGTGACATGCTCTACAGGGGTTTGGGTGTTGGATGATGGATTTGTCCTGGAAGGTTTCCTGAGAACACAACATAGAAGGATCATTAAAGGATGACCCGGTATTCTCCCGGAATGTCACTCTGACGATCAAGTTAGTTTTCTGAGAGAGGGAATTTAGGGTAAATTCGGGAGGGAGAATATGGATCCCTTACTTGAGGCGGAAGAGATACTTTTATACCTGTTACTAACGGATCGTAGGGACCTCGTCCAATGAGTGTGAAATGTGGCCTCCTCTAACCGGGGGAATCAACCACACGTTAACTAACTGCCTGGTGATGTCAGTTTTGAGCGTCACCTAAGCTTTTTGTCACGTCCTAATTGGTCATTAGTGAACGAGAAGATCATGGGAAATATTCTTTCCTCGTTGAGGGAAACGAACTGCCACCCCGGTGTTGGATTACTTAGGCCAACTTCTGGCCTAGTCCAAGGTTCTAGTGATATAACGTCTCGTTTATACTTCTGTTGCATTTAACGTGGCCGTTCATGGTAATGTTAACAAGTCCCTTAGACCAATAGGCTTCTGCGTTCATGATGTAACAGAGTTTTTCTGGTCTATTCATAGATACGTGGCGGGCTGCTACTAATAGTTGATGTAGTTGGCAGGCCGAAATATCCATTCTTTGGCGGTTTCATCATGAAAACGGTTTGCTAACTCTTTAATGGTATTTAAACCTCTATTCCTCTTGGCGTTTCCTCCTTACTTTCTACTTTTCTCTCTTTAACTTCTTGCCCCAAGGAAACCTTTTCGACCCTTTCTTCGTATTCTTCCATGGCTACCGCTCATTCCTTGGGAAGGGATCATACTACCGAAGAGTGGGAATCTTTTCAGTTCCGATTCGGGTTTGTCCTAGAACATGGAGTGCAAATCCGCTTTCCTGATGCGTCACTTTACAATCCTCCCGAGGGAAAAGTCAGCATTCCAATCGCTTTGTTTGAAGCAAGTCTTCGTTTGCCTACTATAGACTTCTTCAAACTGATTATCTAGGAATATGGGTTTTCCGTGAGAGAGTTGACCCCTATTGCTATAAACAAGATAATGGGTTTTGAACTCCTCTGTCGTGCCCTAGGCCGCCTGCCGACTGTTCCGGCCTTCAAGTTATTATTCAATGCCTCTACTCAGTCTCGTCCGTGGAGAGTCCCTATCCTTATCCACGTTAAAAAAAATCCAAGAAGAACTGATAGGAGAAGTTTTTATGGGTGAACAACGACCTCGTGGTGCTCAGCTATACAAGGGCTAAGGTGTACGTCGATCGCGCTCCAACACTCTTTGGTGCTGACAATGATCTGGATGATGCCCTAAAGAAGATCAACATCAATGGTGAAGATTGGCTTGATTTCTTCTTGGCCGCTAGCGGAATGAGCGCTGCTTGGAGGCTCGTGGGAAGATGCCCGAGTTTTTCGTCGAGAAAGAAGGTATTGTGCTTTTCAGACTGTTTTTTCATGCCCCTTGCCCCTTTTTAATCGGAAAAGAACGTTTTAATTGGCATTTTGGTTAACCGCCATTGTTTTTTTTTCAGGTATGGAGGAGGTTGTTTCTTTAAAGAAAAATCTTCATGGTCTATTCGACGGTGAACTTCAGTGTCGCGACGTCGATCTGGTAGAGACTCTTCCACCCCATGTTTCCAGTCGAGGAATCGAGGCTACCATTAGTTCTGACATCATTGTCACTGGCGCTTCTGAGAAGGATCCAGATCTGCAGGATATCGTTGTCACTGGCGCTTCTCAGAAGGATCCTACACCTTCCGGGTCTCCGAGGAGTCTTCGATGTGTCAAGAGGAATTTTGCTTTCTTAGAAGCCTCTTTCGGTGGTCGAACTAGGACGGCTAGCACCAAGCCCCCTCTTCATAAGTAACATAATCTGAGTTTCTTACTAGGGGTACCAAGAGTTCCAACCATGCCCCCGATGAAAGTCCTCTGAAACTGCTCGAGGGGACACAAATCAGGGCGATTGAACCGCCCAGTCATACAGAGGAAGAAAACACCGACAAGACTATCCCTGGTTCCACTGTTGGAGGAGCCAAGGCGAAGACTGGGTCTTCGCCTTCCCAAGGTCACGCATCAACTTCTTCTGGTAAAACGCAACTGCCCCCCTTTTTGTAGGTTCTCATACATATGCCTACAAGCCAGCTTGGAGGCTAACTTCCCAAGACCTTGTATTTGATCACGACACTGATCTTGAGTGGTGTTGGCATGCTTTTCCTCCTGCTACAACTGAGGCCTTAACTGCCCCTAAGTGGATGAGCACATGGTCGACGACTTACGCTATGTCGCCGCCTAAGTGTCATCTTACTTGGCTGCAACTACTGAATGCATCTCTAATATGGAGACCACCCAGTCTGACTCTGACAGGAAGAGCATTGAATGAGAAGAACTGAAGGCCCAAGTGGCAAAGATAGAAGCAGACAAGCGCAACTAGGAGGCCAAGCAGGAGGTGGCGCTGCTCAAGAAGGCAAGCTTAAAAGAACAAGTGGAAAATTTGGAGGAATAGGTGGGGCGCCTGAATGATCGCTTGGGATCCCTGAGTTTGGAGAATACTAGTCTCAGCCAGAGGACGGCAGAATTAGAGGTCAATATGGTTGCTGAGAACACTGCAAAAGGGGCGCTGGAGAACGATATTTCATGGATCCTTAGTGATGGGCTCAACCGGGTGGTGGACAGGGTGATTAAGAGCCCTCAATTTCTTCAAGGCTTGGTTCATGTGCAGGCGGCTTGTGTGGCGGCATGGGTAGAGCAGGGAAAAAGAGCTGGTGATTGTCAGCGAGTTTAATCGAGAGGTTGAGGTGGACGTGGCCACTAAGACCCAAGAGATGGAAGATGCCATGGCGACTTTCACTGAAACATATTTTGTTGGCTATCTCCGCTTGGGCAGTCTGGACATGTCCGGGTTCCGCGATCTTTGTCAAGATGCTCAGAGCGATGGGTCTGACCCTAGCCTAATCTCTTCACTCGGTAATGGTAACACCCTTGCCCAAACTTAGCGTTGTTTATTTGGTTTGTTTTGATGTAACTCCTATGAATAATGTTTTCTATTTCTTTCTTTGTTTTTTGTTTTTGCTGCCCTCAGTGGCAGTCTGAAAGTCCGGGAGTCTAGCGACTTTGACAATGTTCACTTTTAATTTTGTGGGTATGAATGTTTCTTGTTACCGCACATATTCTTTTGTTTGATTGCTTCATGTATGGTTTATGTTGGCCATCATATGGTATTTACGCAGGGTTTGCTTATACCCCTGGTTTGAGTTCCCTTATTTGGTGAACTCTTTATGCTTTACTAATGTTGGTCCTCGAGAAAATTGTTCTAGTTTACTACTTAAAGACCCTAGTTATAGTCAATATCATCATCTTGAGGCTCACCCGGTTTTGTTTTTCTCGTTAGTGGAAGGTTATGACTCTTCTACACTTATGTCACATGTTCTTTCATATGTTTGCTATAATTTAATTGATGAACATGTTTTGGGAGAAAGGTTATGAGCCTTTTTATACAAACCCCCTGGTTGCCTCCTTGTAACGATTTTGCTCGTGTGACATTGGATGATCAGTCCTTGTTGTCACACGGTGAATATACACAACCTCTTTGTTTTACTTTTCAAGCTTGAAAATAAGAAGCATCTGAATTGCTTTCTCTCTTTTCTAGTTTTAATGTTGGAGCGTTATAAGACTGCAGATGGTAAAGTAATTTTTGCTGGTTACATTTACATTTGTAAACTAATACAAAATGCCTTTGCTAGTATTAAATCTATCCTGAACGCTTGTTTTAATAATAAAAAATGACGCATGCTCTGCGCGTTCAAGTTCTTGGAATGGCACGCCCGTCCTGAGCTTCTAGGGCATAAGCACCATTCTTATGGTCTTCCATAATTTTGTATGGTCCTTCCCAAGTGACACTGAGTTTCCTCAGTAGTTCAGTGTGATTGGACTCGTTCTTTCTTAGCACCCATTCTCCAACCTTGAAGTTCTTGATTCGGACTTGGCGGTTGTAATAGTTCTCAGTTCGTGATTTGAATAGTGCTTAGCGCATCTATGCTGCCTCACGTTTTTCATCGAGCATATTCAGGTCCTGGTGTTGCCCTTCTTCATTGGCTGCTCCCTCGAAGCTCTCTATTCGCACGGAGCCGACCACTATTTCCAATGGGAGGACTACTTCCGTCCCATAGGTTAGACTAAATGGCATTTCTCCTATGCTTAACCTTGCTATGGGACAATACGACCATAGTACTGTCAGGAGCTCATCCACCCAGGTGGACTTTGACATGAGTAACCTTTTCTTCAAACCATTGACTATGGTTTTGTTCAATATCTCAGTTTTTCCATTGGCCTGAGGGTGCGCTACCGACGTGAATCGGTGGTGGATTCTCTTGTCTTTGCACCACTCTTTGAAGGGACTTCCTTCAAATTGTGCTCCGTTATCACTTATGAGGATTCTGGGGGTGCCAAAATAGGCCAAGATATTCTTGGTCATGAGCGTTATCATTTGCTTGCCAGTGAGGTGACCAGCAGTTCTGGATTAACATTTAGGAAGAATATCAATCACACCAACTACAATCAGCTTCCTATTAATCAAATATTGTTGCTGAAAAAGAACCAATTGCAGGTCCGCAGGTCCGCTTCTCTGTCTGATAAGGTCCGCTTCTCATCTAGAATGTGGAATTCGTTTCTCGTTCTTCCTTTTTGAACTGCTTAACATCATACTTTATGTTTTCTTAACTAGTTTACAGGTATTGTTCCCTCCTATGAGTCATTTCACTTGTTTAAAGGTACGGTTTTCTCCTCAGTTTCGAATCTTTTAGTTTCCTCCGTTCTGAAAAAATCGACTGTCAATCTATCAAATGGAATCACACTTTCTGATTATTGGGATTATTTTGGAATAATGTTATTGATTGTGGATCGTACGTTCTGATTGTTGGCTCTTTTTGGAAATGGTTAGATTTAAAAGTTTACTTGAATATTTCAAATAATTGTCATCTCTAGTTGTAAATTACTCCATTTGTTCTTTTATAGAGATAAGAACTATGTGATTCTTCATTGATTATTAACTTTTTGAGCTAAGAGGGTGATGAGTTCTTTTCATTTGTGGTTGATGCAGCAAGTTTGATGGCATATTCCAGGATTATTCACGGCAATGTGCCACTCTTGATACAATGTCTAAGCTCTTTAAACTTGTTAAGGTAGGTTGCCTTTTTTTTTTTTCTCTTGATTAAGGATATTATAGTAATATCATCATTGTATAAAATACAAATCAAGGAAGTTATGAGTTTGAACCTCCAAAGACCCAAAATAAAAGTGTAGTATTTTCTGATCACCTCCTTTTTCCTAATGCAAGCAACACACTTACACACAACACCATCAGTCCCTCGTGCATCTCTCATTGAATTTATTTTTATTAATTGTTCATATTGGATTGTGGTGTTTTATTTTGAATTCAATTTTTGATGAGTGAGAAACTTAATGTAATTTGATTAAAATGGGCGTAAAAAGCCCAAACCGTGAAACCAAACCGGAGCCAAACCGTTAGTAACAGTTTGGTTTTGTTCGGTTTTAATTTTTGAACGATTCGGCTTCGGTTTTGGCTTGACAAAAACCGTAACTAACGGTTTGGCTACGGTTTGATCTAAAAACCGAAAAAACCAGACCGTGAACACCCCTAGTCTAGTGGTCAGTAAATAAAGTAATAGGTTGTCATTAAAAGCTAATTTGATATATGATATATATTGATTTAAGATTTTAAAGAGGGCTGCTACATTGCATAAATAAATGGAAGTATGTTTTTATAAA